AGACAAAAATGTTAAATATTATCTAAAATAAAAGAACATAATTCAATTTGTCAGTTATAATCTTTGCCTCTTTGTAGAAGCAGCTGAACTTCTTGGTGAAATTCTCGCACCTTTTTTTGAAGACTACAAACAAACCCTCTCTTCCTACTCAGTTGTCCTGCCAAGATTACCTAATCTGCCACTTCAGAGACTGAGTTTCCAGGTTGTTGATGGGCCCTCCAGAGCACAGAGTCCACCTGGGCCCAGCTTTCCTGTACCTGTGTTTCTTCATTCCCACATTACTGCAGTCAGGTCAACTTCTAAAACCCCGCAGGCCAGCATAACCCTGCCCACCCCCACGCCTCCTGCTCACTCCGGTTTAGCAGCAGCCTGATTCTTGGGAGTTAATTCCTAGCTTATTACACTATCAGCTGAATGTATACACTCCATTGCTTCAAGTGTAGGACTGTGTGTGTGTGTGTGTGTGTGTGTGTGTAAGAAGCTTACGTCACTAACAAAAGCTTTAAATGCAGCAGCGAGAGCTCTCATGGTAGAGATCTGAGCAGTGTGCCTAGGTTCTGTGTACAAACAGTTTTGATTGGTGCAGCAAAGGCTAGAGATGGAGAGACTGAAGCCCGCATGTCGTTGTCTTCCACAGCAGCATTGTCTAGATGCAGTCAGTTGTGTGGGGTCTCCAAAATTCCTGCCACTTCTCAGGATTTCTTCCCTCCAGTTTACACTGATAACAAATACGCATTCAGTTGTCTCTGTAAGACATCACGCACTTTAATGTATTTCTATGTTGTGTACATTATGATCTGCTGGAACTGCTTCCAGAAGCCCAAACACAGGTACTTAATAGTATTTGAGGTAGTCTTCATAATTCAAAGAATCTCCTGAGTATAGGAAGACCCAGTGCACAGGAGAAAACTTGTGCTTGACCCCTAGTTTCTGGGAACAGAGTGTCCCATATACCAGGGGTCATTGTGTTAACTCCATCAAGGTGCTGTAGTGAAATGTTCGCTTGTCTCCCTGAAGCCTCAATTCAAGTTCTGAGCTGGAAATGTTCTCACATGCATTTACGATTTATGGGGTTGCTCTTCAGAGGAGGACTGGGTGGTAACCAGTTTGAGGAAAGGTGACCTCACTCCCATCACAGCTGCTCAGGGAGCCACTCATTCACTGAGGACATGGCATCACAGAGTTGGTGAAGACTCCATTAAGAGTCTGCAGTATTCTCGGGGAGAAATTTCTATCAGTTTTGACTTCAGCTGGCTCCCTTTGAAAAAAGACAGAGTAATAGTTTAGAATATTTTATGGAAGGAAATAAAAGCCAAAGATAATTGTTGACATAAATTAAGTTAACAGCGTGCTGAGGACGTCTAGATGTTCTTGTTTAGCACATATAATATCTCTAAACTTGAGTGTTTTCATCTGCATGAAGGAATTAAGAGTATCTTGTTATACTGGTGAGAAAAGTGTAGCCTGAGGGAATTTAAAACAAATGTACAAAATTTATGTAGCTTCTAGTACAATGAATGTCAATGATGAGCCACTTTCATGATTAAAATAATAGGTGTATTGGAAAAAGGAGAAAATGCTCAGTAATAAGAGCTCAAATCCTTTTGTTAGGGAGTGATAATTATAATAAAGACAGCACAGTAGTAATAATTACAGCTAATATATACTAATTATGTATTGTCCTAAGTTCCTGTAAAGATAATTTTATGTAATTCTTGAAACAACTGTGTGATGTAGACAATATTTCAATTATTTACCATTTCCTAGAAAAGCAAGTTGAGGTGCAGTTGTCAAAAAAATATTACCATTCATTCTAACATTGCTAGATACTGCATAGTGAATGTACAATGTCAATTGGCAATAAATAAAGCTAAATATACACAATTGATCCTATTGCCCTTTCTATCGCCAGTTTAAAATTCGTCAACTTGACTGGGCTAATGGGGTGTTTAGATAGCTGACCAGCATAAATAGCATTGTTTGAAGGTTTCTGGAGAAGAGTAATCTCCAACTCAGAGACTAAGTACAAAAAAATCCATCCCCACCAATATAGTTAGACATCACTATGTTGAGGTCCTCCGTAGAACAAAAATGTGGTCAGAGTGTAGATTGCATGTTTCTTTTTACCTAAAACAGCCAGTCTCTCCTGACATCAGATTTCAGGTCTCCTTAGTCTTAAATTTGGACTTTATACCATTGACTCCCCTGATCACTAGACATTTGGATCTGGACTCAGACTGTAAACCCCTTTCCTTCCTAGTCTTCCAGTCAGCAAACAGCAGATATGTAACTTCCTATAATGTAATGGCATATCTTTCTATAATGGCATATCTTTCATAATTACCTACTATATATCTGTCCATTATCCATCATTCATATATTCATAGATGTCTGCCTCTCTATCAAGAATCACCTCTGTACCTGCCTATCTGCCTACCTACCAGCGTATTTGTCCATCCATCCTATTGGTTCTGCTTTTCTCTACAATGTTGATTAATAAATATTTTATAAAAAATAAACTAAAATTCCGTGAAAATATAGTGGCACAGAAGGGACTAGACAACAAAGGCATGTTAGGTAGAGTACTATAAAAAATGCTTCTCATTTTTCTCTCTGAAATAGTTACTGCTGGGGAGTTTCTACACTTTCAACATGCTGAATGTTTTCTTTCCTGACGTTGCCCATGTAGTTCAGGACTCCTTAGATATTATTTATACTACTACATTGCCAATAATATTTAATAACCCAGGAACATTTTGGCCGTTAAGTTCCTCATACATATGCATAACAATCTAATACAGTATGAACGAGAAGTTGAGTTAGCTAACCTCAGGATGTGTTTATGCAGTCATCAGGGATGCCGGAGCATCATTCTTTTCCACCACTGTTGAAGATCAACCTGTTTGTCAACATCTGTACACACACTCGGAGAATGCTTGGCCTTTCCCAGGAGTCTGAGGTATTGGTTTCCTTGACATGGCCATACACATGTCATACTGGGGTATACTCCCTCCCCACAATCTTCCAGTCCAGTGTGGAGTCATACATTATCATGTGGCCACTAGAAAACGCCACTGTACCTTTATGAAAGAATGTCAGTAACATTTTGCTGTGGAAGTAATTTTGACCCTGAGGCCACTCCCTAGTAACTCCCCAACCACACCATGGTCTCACTTTGGGATGAGGACTGACATGTGGCTGTGAAACTGTGGTCAGCTCCTGCACAGTCGAGTGTGAGCTGCTATAATCTTCTGCATGCAGAATATCTTTAAATTTTGTACCAAGTTGAAAAAAATTCACATAGGTACAGTGTAATAGAGTATTTAAAAATATTGAAAATAAAAATATTGAAAATATTAATTTAAATTTTAATATTTAAAAATATTTAAAAAAATGACGGGGTGTCATGGATGTATAAAATGCTTGTAGACTGGGATCTGTGTTATCATTCAGTACTGTAAAGTATCTACAAATTTATTCTTAAAAGTTAAAATTTGTGAGAACCAACTGATACAAACATCAGATCTTTCATGACAGCTGTTGAAAATGAGAAAATGAAAACAGGTAAAAATGCTACATTGTGTCAAAACTGCATTAAATTGACTGTGGTACAGAATGTGCTGTTGTACCAAGGTCACAGCTGCCTCTTGCTGCTAGTGTGAGAAGTCAAGAGCTTTACACACATTCTTTTAGAAGCGCTGTGGGGCTGAGTGTCGCTAGTGTCAAGGACACTAATGAGTCCCCACATTGTTCAAGGATCCATTAAATTATGGATTCAAAATCTTACATTTTCAGTTAAGTATTGCATACCTCTCTAATAAAATATTTTATAAATATTTCCACGATAGACCCATTTTTAAAATTTCTCCCATTTTTTCTCAATTTTTTTTCATTATCATTCTGCTTATTTCCTGGTTCTGTGTTATTGGGAATGAGATCAAATTTTCTGTTGTATGTTTAAGTATTGTTTGTCTGCATTAAAATCATTGCTTTTTACAGAATGTGGACCCTTCAATATTCTTTTGTTACTTGTGATTTTTTAAACAAGGTCTCACTTTAAATCAGGCTGGTGTTGAACTCATGATGCTTGTGTGTCCTGTCACACCTAGCCTCATTAGTTATTAATTCTTTCAGGAACATCCAACAATGACTAGAATTGTGTTAAAATATATTCATCATAACCTTTTTAAAAAATGTATAAGTTAAAATTTTGGAGCTGTTTATATTAGGCTTGTGATGGTCTACATAATAAAAATTCACGGTCCCATTATGTACACCTACTCAGATAACTATCTTTCCTTTTATAAATGGAGATAAGGGTTACATGAACTTTTGGAGGTCTCTTTTGTATTTCTCCTTTTGATAAGAACAGTAGGCCTGTTTAGATGAGTGACAGAAGCAAAGGACATTTTGACCATGAAGAGGAAGAAGAGACAACCCACTGTCCAGCGGTGGACCCACTTGGGGAGCTGAGTTTGTGAGGAGGCAGAGTGGGAATGGACTGTCCCAGGAGGCAGGTGGAGTTGGAGGTCTGGTTATCAATAGCCGCCCTCCGCAGTTGCAGAAGTCCTGGCCTTCTGCTTCCAGCCCAACTTCCTCAAGGTCCAAAAAGAAGTTGCCCAGGGCTGGAGGCCTGGGAACACAAGCTTGTTTCAGATGAGAGCCTGCGCTCTCCAGCGTGCTCCACCTTCAAGCCAGAACTTTGGCAGTTCTTTGAGGGTTAAAGTTAGCCTCAGGGAGAGGAAGGTGTCCCAAGCATAGGTCCAGCCCTGTGTTCCGGGGCGGCACGGGAGGCTTGGCCAGGGCTCAGGAGCACCTGGGCTGGGTCGAGGCCCAGGCCCTGCTCATCCAGCTGGACTCTGACAGCAGCTCTGCTGACCTGCGTCTGCCCGGGGAGGTGCCATGGCGCCCCGCCCCGCGCCACCAGCCTCCAGGCGCTGAAGGAACCGGAGCGCCCGGGTCGGGTCGGATGAGGAACTGGTGTGGCCACACACTGTGAGCCCACCCTGAGAGCGAGCAGACCTCAGAACGCCCGCCGGCAAAGTGAGTGCGGGAGAGCGCGGCGGGCCTGGATGTGCGCGGACTGGCGACCTGTGGCGTCTCAGCTTCCAGAGGGGAAGGCTAGCGGCCTGTGCAGCGCCATGGTCTGTAGATGGGTCTGCAGAGGAGAGGGCACGGGTGCCTTAGTTACCCCACACTGAAGGACTTTCTGCTTTTGGACCTTGCTGAAATTTCCATTAGGAGACTAAAAGTAGTTTTGGAATTGGCCCGCGCGCCTTGAAAGAATGAGCGAGCGGTGACTCTAAAATTACATGTGTGCTCTCATGTAATTTTATATTTAATTTTATAAAAAATATTTATATATTTTTATTCTATAATATATATTATTTATATATATTTGGAACCATAAACGTCTTCACGAGTTTCTTGGTGAAATAACTGATCTTCCGTTTGTTCTTAATCTCTCAAATTTTATGATTTGCACCAGTCCAGGAGCTTCAGCACAAGAAATGAGGTGCTTTGTGTTCCCTGTTAGCTATGTGAAAGTGCTAACATTTCTGCCTAAATCGTTCCTAAGTTCAATTTCTGATGTCTTTTTCCAGATTTTGAATGTTTTTCCCTATCTATCATGCTATGATTTTTTTTCTTCTATTGCATAATACCGGTCCATATTCTATGCTTTGGTATTTGAATATTTTGCATTATGTTCTAGCTTTACTAAAGATAGGTGGCAAAGTTGACAAGGTTCATAGATTTCCCAAGGCCTAAATGCCAAATTGACAGAAGAACAAGGGTGCACGTTACCTTTCCCATTTTGACTTCATTCTACTATAAAATAGAATCGTTTTAAAGTGGGAAAATACAAAGATATGAAAGCTTTCAAAGATAATGTGTTCATGGATATTATGTCTCGCATGAGAAAGTTTACTTTTTATCTTTTTTTGTCCCATTTTACTTGCCATGGCTGGGGACAAAAATACAAAGGAAACTATTACATTTGATTTGATTTGATGATCTTGAAGACAAGCTGTGTGTGTGTGTGTGTGTGTGTGTGTGTGTGTGTGTGTGTGTGTGTACATCACCTAATGGCATAGCATCATCCTTTTTTCAAATACACTTTGGCAGCCTAATATATTTTTGTGCCTATATTCTTTGAAAAGTAACTTGTATCTGTCAAATAGAAAATATTTGAAGGTACATTTAGGTGATGCTAATTTTCATAATGAACAACATTTGAAAATTCAAATATACTTCAGAATATAGTTATTTTGTGTAAATTATGTAGGTTTGATACAAAGTATTTTAGTTATTTCTGCAATGTTGTTTTTAAGGTTTTATAAATAAGCATCAGTTCTGTCATTAGTTTTCTTTATGAATTGATAATTTGAAAGGTGATAGCTAGCATACAATTATTTTCCCTGGTAATAGGAAATAGTTATCCATAGATCTAAGCAGAAGCCTAACAGCTTTCGAGCAGTTAGTGGGAAACAGTTTTCCAGTATGGATCACAGGTTTGGAACATGGTTCTTTTGAACTGAAGTGGTCTGTCATTGAACACCTAATTTCTAAGATGAATTTTGACATTGTTTGCTCCTTGACTCTATTACTTACACATTATGATTTCAGAAATACTCCAATCCCCAAAGTTCCCTGAAATTAGAGGTTTTGAAGTGCCTTTCTAAGAAGTTTCTTATGATCATAAAATGGTACGAGGATGGAAATAATGTACAAGCACACTGGGTACTTGGGACATAGGAAACAAACCCCAGTGAGTTTTGGCCACAGCGTTTTCCTTTATCTGGGAATGATTACAAAGTGGGAAGGCTTGTGTTTCCTGCCACTGCTTGATAAAGAACACAAAGCCTCATGTAGAACTCCTCATTGATAGTTTAAGAGTTGAAGTTGGACTTTTGGATATGTTTATTTGCATCACTTAAGTCCTTGAAAATAATTTACTGATATTTTATAATTAACCGTTTTTGCAAACATTTTCAGAGGCCTCACATTTCCTTAAAAGCTAGGAAGGTTTTGGCCAATTTGGATGTAGTAAACTCTCTCTGTTTAGGCACAATGCAACCTCCACCCGCTTATTTCTCTGATGCATTCTACCCCATTCATCCCTGCGGACATTTGGGTTTGTGATTCTGGTTCTGGAAATATCCCTCACACTTACACAGTGGTGTGGTCCAAACTGTAAACCAGCTGCCATCCTTATAGGACGTGGGGCGGCAAGCGCCAGGCACAAGACGTTCCTTACAAAGCTCAGTTCTGATCGCTGTCCGGAAGCACATTGTTATTCCATGCTGCAGTCATCCTTCACTCACACTTTTATACTGAAACTTAAAAAATAGCTGATGAGTTTTGTGGGCTTGGGGGTTTCTTACAACTGCCAGTTTTAGAAGACAGACATGTTTTCTAAGGAATGATAGCCTTTCTTTGGTTTTATCATTTATTTATTGTATATATTTATTTATTATTTTATTTAGAATACAAAGTGATGGGTTGTATTATGATTTTTTTCAGTTCTACCCCTCAAATGCCTTTCAGTTCTAGCTATCTCTTCCCATATTACCTCTCTCAATCCCAGCTCTCCTCTCAACATTTATTTTAAACAAGGAATTTTTGCCTGTGATTTTAAAGGGAAAAAATTAATGGTGGAGTGCAAAATTCTTTTAAAGAAGAATGTACATAGATCTCCCCATTTCTCCAATCAGTATAAAGTAAATTGAATGGAATAAAGATGAATGCCTGCTTATTTGGGTACATAACTGTACAGGGCTTCTTTTAAACTGCTTTATTGTTTATGTGGCCTGAAATCTAAAAAAAGGTTGTTGTTATAGGGCTGTTGATTTCTCCCCTGAGTTCAGCCAGTGTTAGTATGTTTTATAATTCCTATGCTTGATGCACTTATGTTTATAATTGCTATTCCCTGTTGGTCAGTGTTCTCTCTCTCTGTCTCTCTGCCTCTCTCTCTCTCTCTCTCTCTCTCTCACACACACACACACACACACACACACATACACACAAACATAGAAGTTTTGGATGTAAAGTTTATTTTATTTGACATTGTCATAGCTAACCCACACCTTCCTCCTCCTCCTCATAATCATCATTATCATCTCATCTTCCTCCTCTCTCTCTTCCTCTTCTCCCCTCCTCCTTCTTTTCTCTTCTCCCTTCCTCTACTATCTCACATCAAATACTGATAGTGTTACTCCAGGTCCATTGTGCGCCAGGAGGAGGGGAGAACAAACCCCAGTGGACACGAAAACAACGAAATCTTTTGATATTCCCAGCACATAAGCAGAGTCACTAACTGATCAGGACCACCAGACAAGGACTTGGAACCCTGGTTTCTTCTGGCATCCAGGAGCAGTGGCAGAAGCAGGGTTTATAAGCATAAAACCTGGGAAAAGTTGCAGCCATAATGTTCCTCAATCAGAACTCATGAGGGACTTTTCAAAGTGTTCAGTCATTGACATTGAATGTAAGTGTTTATGCCCCACCAATCAAATTCATTTGTTCTTTCTGTTGTTAGATTAGGCGTTATGTTTTTGGTAGCTATTGTTGCTTAGAGAGAAGGTTGGTAACAGGCATGCTTTGGGGAAGTATCATTGGTTAGAGAGGGAGTTGGTCAACTTAGGTAAAATGGAGTTTGAAGTCAAAATGGCGACACTTAAGATAAGTTCCTTTAATCCGCTCCCAACAATAGGAAAAGACATACAATTGCTTTTGAAGAAAGTGGTTTTGGTATGACAGTCTTCTCATTTCCTCTATTTCTACCAAATTTTGTGTCCAGTAAAAAGCATTTTGTTTGCATTTCACTCTCATTTCCTTTTCTATCTATTTTTATAGTTTCTCTGTAGTTACTGTGGAAATTATTTGTCACCTTGGACTCTGTGAGCTTATTTTCTTATACTGTAAAATTTTTGAGTTTATAATATAATTACAAGACTTCTACCTTCCATTTATACCCTCCAAACCATCCCATATACACCTCCTTGCCATTTAAAATTTGCAATTATTGGAATATTGGTTTCTGCAGCACCCCCTCCCGGGCCCATGTTTTTTGGCTCTGTTGGTCTCCTTGTGGAGTTTCTGTCCCCTCCAGGTTTTTCTATTCCCCTCTTCTTCTATAAGGTTTCCTGAACTCTGCCCAAAGTTTGGCTATGTATCTCCTGCCGGGTAGAGTCTTTCAGAGGACCCCTGTGGAAGGTCCCTATCCTGTTCCTTCTCTTCCCCTACTTCAGATGTCTATCCTATTTGCCTTTCTAAGTGAAGCTTCAGCCTCTTCCCTAGGGTCCTCTTTGATGTTTAGCTTCTTTAAGACTATAGATTTTGGTATGTTTATCCTATATTATGTATCTAATATTCACTTAGAAGTGAGTATGTGTCATTCTGCTTCTGGGTTACCTAACTCAGGATATTTTCTAGTTTCCACCATTTGCCTGAAAATGTCATGATTTTCTTGTTTTTAATTGCTGGGTAGTGTTCCATTGTGTAAATGTACCATAATTTCTGCATCCATTCTTTAGTTGTGGGACATCTAGGTTGGTTCCAGATTCTGGCAATTATGAATAATGCTACTATGAACATAGTTGAGCAAAAGTCCTTGTTTGGCTTAGCATCTTTCAGCTATATGCCCAGGAGTGGTATAGCTGGATCTTGAGGTAGCACTATTCCTAATTTTCTGAGATAGCACCAGATTGATTTCCAAAGTGGTTGTACAAGTTTACATTTCCACCAGCAAAGGAGGAAGGTACCCCTTTCTGCACATCCTCTCCAGCATGCATCATCCCTTGAATTTTTGATCTTAGCCATTCTGATGGATATGAGGTGGAATGTCAGGGTCATTTTGATTTGCATTTCTTGGATGACTAAGGACTTTGAGCATTTCTTTAAGTTTTTCTCTGCCATTTGATATTCCTCTGTTGAGAATTCTCTACTCCAACCAAGGACCATGTATGGAGACCCCTTGCCCAGTTTATAAGTAGGTGCCCTAGTAATGGGTACAAGGACTGTCTCTGACATGAACTCAGAGG